ATTTGCCTTACAGACCTGTGATCTGGATAAACTCTAATTCTGGGAGGACCAATCACAAATTCGTCCTTACACTACCTGATGCTTCTTAGGGTGATATTTGTATTTAGTATCCCAAATTACCTAGGTACTCCAAGTTTCATTCATTTGTAACAATGTGAGACAAAGTTTTCAAATACCTCTTCAAGTCTGTGATATTGATAAAAATCTGTTTTTTTTTGTGAATCGGGTGCGTAAATTCCAAATCCAGTTTGAATGAGGGGCCTGCAAGTGACACATTTTGTACTTGAAATTCAACCCCATAATACTTTCAGGATCTTTGATGGTCATATTAAATTCAGCTCCCCATATAAACACACTTGGTTTAATTTGCTTGTAACAACAGGAGGCAAAAATGAAAATATGCTACAATTTGTCTAAATGAAAGCCCCTCTGGTTGTCTTAGGTATACAGATTCTGAATTCAGTCCTTAATTTGACACTCCCAAGCGAAAATTTTCTAATTTTACGATGCTAGTGCGTTATTTTGTAATATTCGAATTGACCAAACCAAATTGCCTGTACCCAAATTACATTTGCTTTTAGAATAGGAGTTGAAGGTGAAACTTTTGCTCTGGAATACAGAATACTATTATTAGAAAAACCACCTTCTCCTGGGTCTCCCTCAGCCATATTTCCAGCCTTGCAAGGACCCCAATTCAATTTTTAAGATAGTTGCTTAACATCAATCTGACCACCATATGTCACCAGTGGTGTATTTTCCCTAGAGCCATGGGCTGGGAATGGCTCAAGCCATCTGAATCAAAAGTTTTTGCTTTTCCCAGTTCTTCATGGGACTGCAGATCTTTAGAGGTTCAGGGCACTGAATCTCAAAATACACTACTGTATGTCACTTGTGGACTAGCCAGTTAACAATGATAGCTGGTTATTTTCACTGTTTCTGGTGGTTACATCATCAGTGCCATATGAAATAAGTAAGTAAACTGCAACACAGGAGAATTGCACACTAGCCAGAATGATCTTAATTGCAGCTTCTCTTGCACACATGAATTGGTTAATAAGGACCATTGCTTTCATTCATTTCTTAAAATACTCCAATAATTTCTGGTAAAAAATATCGGTACTATCCATTACTAGTTACTATGTTTTACATTAAAAAGATCAATAAAAGGTAAATCATGTCAAGTGGCTTGACATACTGGCAGTGACAAGCATAGATTAGGAATAGTCATATGTTGGCGAGATTATTTTCGAGGTGGCGAGATAGAACTAAAGAACGTATGTCTAAGCTTACACAAACGTTTGTGCACACAAACCGCTTGCCTTCTTCTCAATGTGCTTGCACGTTTAGGGTACTGGCTTTCTATAACCTACCAATTGCTTAATATATGACATATGATGGACAATTCGCAGTGCATGCAATCCCAGACATCTCACTTTATACAAATATTTATACTTTTTAATGCTAAAGAGTCCACCTACTTGACATCATTTGTTCTTGTCAAAGGGTGATGGAACAGGAGTGATGAGCATCTACGGAGGCGGCACCTTCCCCGACGAAAACTTCACCATAAAACACGACACTCCAGGCCTCCTGTCAATGGCGAACAGCGGGAAAGACACGAACGGCTGCCAGTTCTTCATCACATGTGCCAAGTGTAACTTTCTAGATGCCAAACACGTCGTGTTTGGTAGAGTGATAGATGGACTGTTGGTAATGAGGAAGATAGAGAATGTACCCACTGGGCCCAATAATAAGCCTAAGATACCTGTTACAATAGTACAGTGTGGACAGATGTAGTATTAAGCGTTTTAGGTGTACATAATGACATTGTATGTGTAAGGACTATTATGCAAAAAATACTTTTTAGATGAATTTCATGTTATTATTACCCAAATGACCACTCCCACGAGAAATCTGTAATTTCGTTTTCGAAATAAGATCACACTTTGAATGTAGCATCATATGTACAGCGTGACACAAAAGTCTCTATTTTCTCGGGTAAGGTACTTTTTGGAAAAGACCAAGGTCAGCACTTTAGAAGCTTTCAACAGTGACCTTTAATTTGACCTTGACTTTCACCTTCAAGATTAATTTACGGGCAACGTTATGTTTTCAAATAGAAGGTCAAGGTTACCGTTAAATACCCTGCTGAAAGTTACTGAAAACCTGACCTAGATCTTTTCCAAAAATACCTTACCCGAGAAAATACAGTGTCATTCTAGGAATTTTGTGCAACGCTGTATATTGGTACGTCTCTACAGGTTAGGCATCATAACAGATTCTGGAATCTTTGCATGTTCTTAAACCAGAGGTTTCTCAAAGATTCAAGTTTTCCAAATTATATTCAAAAAATATTATATATGCCAGGAAAAATGCTTTTAATGAAATTGAAACACTAGATGTGTATATTTTATTTTTAAAGATTGCCATGAAGATATTCTCTCCACTTCATTGCAAGCATTCAGGTAATCTCTTTATCGCAGTTCGCATATATGTATATTGCGCTCAGGAATAGCGTGTATAATTTGGTTACTTTGCGACGTACATTTTGGAATCAGACAGTTTGTTAGTAGAAAATACTGCCAGTTTCACTTGCATATAATAGCATAACTGGTATCTTTGCAAATATGGAGGAATTATTTCGGTAACTTAAAATTTAAGGAAGTTATAACATTTTCTGTATTGGCTGCTCGTGCGTTGAGGTTCGACCATGACGTCACATTGCACCCGCTTCAGTACTGACGCCCGTGGCCGGACGATGCGACGGCCCTCTCATATATAGTCGCAATTTATTGTCTGTACCTTGACATACACTGTTGTGCCGTATTGTAGGTATACAATAATTGAAGTGGAAAAAGGTTTTCTGTCCGCCGATTCCAGTAAACCTCCGAAGGTGGACTTAATAATGGTTAAATAGTAATGCGAAACGCTTATAATGGAGCACGTATTATTAGTAAGTTGTCAGTGCTCTTATTTTGCTGCTTCATTATGATCTTTGTTATGCTGCGCTTGCGCAGCAGCGAAGCAATCCTTCGTTCTCCGTTATCGGAATAAGAAGCTTTGTTAGTTACAAAGACTAAGGTATCCTTTTTACCATATTAACTACATACCTACTAACACCAAAATGAGATTTACAGCAGTAAAATGTTTCAGAAAGAGGCAAATTTATTGTCCCTTCGTCACTTTTTTAAATACTTCTGTTTTGGCAAATGTAAACATATTTTTCCGGAGCTGATGTGCCTGTATTTGTACATCTATAGTACAGTATTTGTAAGTATTATCCAAATAAGAAACTTGTGTGGGGCTATGCTATCTAAGTTGCGAAATTTACATCAATAGTCCAAGGAGTATCGCTGATTTGGAAGAAAAATGTTCGTCGCGAACGAAAGTGTACCTGCTACAGGGTGCGTCAGCACAACTTCCTTTTTTAAAATGCGCACCATTCAGTCGGTTGATGTAGCGTAGCGGTAGTGGTCTCGTTCGAAAGGCGTGAATATAGTTTTGTCCCGACATGGTTCAGTCGCCATCTTGCGTAACAGTGAGAAGCGTGCTTTTTTAACTTAGGCCCGTTGGCCCCTGTACCGGGACGGAAATCAGTTGTTACGTGGGACACTATGTTCAGACACACTGCAAGTGCGACAAGACGAAGAACTGAAGTCCCACATCCCATTAGATCACCCTTACAAGATGGCAATTGTGCAGGAACTTTCTGAACGTGACTTCAATTCTCGGATGAACGTTTTCTCGAAGTAGTTCCCGAGGACGCTCTTTTTTTTTAGTGATGAAGCCCATTTTCATTTGTGTAGATTTATCGAAACGGGCTACTGGGCTTACGCCAACCCTCGAGAATTGCATCAAATTCATTTGCATGCACCTAAAGCCACCAATGTGGTATGCAATTTTCTCAGCTGGAATTATTGGTCCCTGGTTCTTTGAGGAAAATGAAGTAGTGACTGAATTCGGACCGGTATGTAAACAAGGTCCAGGATTTTTCCCACGGCTAGATGAGTTGGACTTAGGGAACATTTGATTCCAATAAGACAGCGCAATGGCATACACATCAAGAGCATCGATGGCTGTTTCGTGGAAACACTTCTAGAGCGTCTCATTTGTTGTTGTTGAAGATTTATTTAGCATTAATGCTACAATGTCAATTTTGTATAATGATTCTGTTTCATATTTTTTTCAATCCATTTTCTGTATTATTACATTCTGGTCTATTAAAATTAAAATTACGTCACTACGTATTTTGATTATTCATAAAGTGATTTTTTAATCTCACCTCAAACATTATTAAATTCGAACTCTGTTTAATATCATTATTCAATTTATTAAATTCAAATACTCCCTTTTGAAATATAGATTTACTAGTTATGCTACTATTACTGTCTATACTGCCTCTAGTTTCGTAGTTATGATAATGACTATTTAACTTTGTGAAGTTTTCTAAATGTGGTGGTAATAAATGATTTTTAATTTGAATATGAAAACGAGAACCTATATGAATATATATGAAATTTTTAACATCCAACCACTGCAGTTCTTCTAACATAAAGTTAATCCTAGCATGTTTGTTTTTATTTAAAATGATTCTCATAGCTTTACTTTGTAGAATTTGTAATTTTGAAAATATGCTTTTATTTGCTGTAAACAAGATGGTTGAACAATATAAAAAATGGAAAAGCATTATAGTGTTATACACATTTTTTTTGGAATACATACTAAGATTATGAGAAACCCTTTAGCAGTAATTTATCTTTTTCGATATTTTTGAAATAATGTATTCATAATATTCGTGAAATAGTAGCTTAATATCCACATACATACCAAGATATTTAAATGACTCGACTACTTCCATTTTTTATCATTAATCATCAATTGTATTGTCACCTGAATGTTTCCCTATTGACATACATTTTGTTTTATTAATGTTTAATTCAAGTTTATTGACATTTAAACAATTCATATTTTTTTCAATATCACTATTTAACAGTTCTAAAGCAGTGTCGAAATGCTTATGTGCTATATATATATATAAGTGTAAAGTCCGTTAGTATCGTTCGGAATAGTTGGCGCCGGCCGGCTGTTGGCTAATTTACGCGCTCGTCACCAACCAAAATGTTTGGAGTTGCTTCGGTGTGCGCACCGGCAGCCCATCCCGACTAAACTATCGGCCGTTAGAAAGTCTGCAGTCTGCGGGGGCCCTTCGCGACACTTCGCCTTTTTCGTACTCCGTATGAAATAAAGCCCATTTATTATCACTATTATAACTTTGAATAAACAAATCCAAATTGGCACGTATCCCACGATCGGCAATCCGAATATGAAAGGACAACTATTACCAACAAGAAAATCTGACCCTACAACGTCCTGGAGACTTTACTGCTCGCAAGCAGCCATTCAAGATTGACATTTGCGGAGAATCGGTTAGATTTACAATTTTTTCGCTCTCCGCACATTGCCATGGCAACCTGTAATTCAAATAGATAAATATACATATTACGAGTTTTTATTATGTATACAAAGTGGGACATGGACCATGGAATTCTGAACGTGAAATGGAAAATACTCTGCTATTACTGCTGTAGCAATATAGAAAAAGTCGAGCGCAAAGAATTGTCATGTCCTAGAAATATCGCCAAATTTCTTTCAATTAGCAACTCCGTAAGTCGTTGAGCTCCAAAGAAAGTAAATAGAAAATTCGATTTTTGGCAATGCTACGAAATATATCGAAACTGTGTCGTTCTTTTTCCTGCGTCAAGTGAATAATACGAGCTTTTTCGGTGTAACGTACAGGGTTCTGTTTGTAATGTAAGCAATATTCTGTAACCTAGGCGAAAGAATTGATTATTGCACATTTACTCCAGTTTCTCTTATCTCTTGCTCCACGTGTGTTGGGTTGAAACAATATGGAGCTGGAATTAACTCGAGTAGATTATACAGTCGTGGGTGTGACTAACTCCAATTGTCTTGTGTTGATGCCTGGCAATTTGCCCAAGGAACAATGTAAGGTAAGATTGATGCACATGTTTCTATGAATAATAACGTAATATTGGACGAAAGAACTGGAGGCAATCCAGTAACTTACAAGTGTCGCAGCATAGGACAACTAACAGGATCTTTTGCGCCTCCAGACTCGTTCTTTTGATGAAATTCTATCCTCCACATCCTCTACCTAGAGTATGCTAGAGAGAGAATGTTATGTTTTAGGTAGCTATTGTAGATGAAGACGGGGTACTGCAGGTGTTTTCGATAAAAAAAGACGAAATAGTCTTGCATTTTAAGACTTTACCAGGACCTCCGATAAGTTCGCTAAAATACGTAAATGGATCTGGTCAGTATAACAACGTTTTCTTGTACCTCCACTTAAAAATATGTCTATACATTTCTTTGTAGGGCTGAATCAAGGAAAAATATTCGTAGCATCAAAAAATGAAGTCAGAGGCTATTCTCAAAGAGGGAAATTATTCCTGACTTTCGATTCAGGGTTAACAGAACCTATAAGCACTATGTATGAAATCTTCAAAAATGTCTATGGTATATATATTATAACACTGTTTTAGGTTCGTTATGGACAATGATCTTTTCCTTTGTGGAAAACACATATATACTCATTATAGAGACTGCAGAGAAGTTGGATCTTACTTATGTGGAGACAAAATAGTTGATGTAGTGGCCTTTTACTCGACCAAGGTATTCTATTGTGTATTTCCTACTTATAATTCAACTTTAAGAGCTGCAGGACACCAGACCATTGGTGACTCATCCTCATTTTCGTCCATTTTCTTCAATAGGGGTTTATGGGTGCACACAGCGATGTATCATGTCCCCCTCTGATAATCCGGTTAGACCATAAAAAGCATGTTTAGCATGTGACAATTTACTACCCCTGCTCTTCAAACACTGTTGGGGGTTCACAAGAAATTATCTATGGAAGTTCTGCAGGCGCCCATGCACAAGAACCGAGCATTAAGCACTCTGTGCCTTGGAAGACGCCACTTGAAGGTTCAGTCAATACAACACAAAACGTACGCAAAAGTTATTCATGATTTGTGGCGGCCACTAGTCACTCCTGTGCCCTCTTGTATGGTAGCACTAAAAGTGAAAAATAAAAACTAAGCTTGAAGTTATCCTTTAAGGAAGGGGACTGGGTGGCCAAATATGTTACGGCATCAAGCTCTTAGCAGGGTTTGAATCCCGGCCACGGAAGTTACATTTCAAGTCATGAATTTTGTGTTTCTCTATATATGTATGCACCAAATCAGTACATATCACATCACTGGAGTTGGTTTATTCAATAATCAGTAACGAGGGAAGAGGCATGTGGAGTACAGTATTGGTAGAAAGGGCTCAGTAAGAAGGGTCAAAGGTAGCCTAGTAGCCAAGCTTCACCTCCCCACTAAATCCTTTTAAAAAAATGAAAGATCTTAATGAATATATAATATGGTAAAACAAAACCCTCTATACAACTTTGTAAAATGTATTAATAAAATATATGTAAAATAAATAAAATGCATTCAAATAATATTTCAAACTACAAAAGATGCGCGTACTTTTTCTTGGACTGTTTCTCCTCTTTCTCCATTTTACTCTTTGCTATACATTCCAAATTATGCATATAGAAGTATGAAAAATTAGTTACACCTGAGTTTACAATTTTAGCACTACCCAAACATTCACCATCCTTAGCAAAAACAGCATACTGTCCAGCAGTTACAGCCCTTTTGTAAGTATTCAATTTCACAGTCAACCCACTTGTTGACTGACATATTTTGCAAGGTACCCAATGCTGTGTATGTTGAAATTTGAACTGACAATCTAGAATATAATTTTCTTCTAGATCTTTTGGTTTGGAGTAAATCCAATATGGTTCTGATGTGAAAAATAAGTTTGTATAAAGTATTGGATGTTTGGTACCACTTGCAATATATATAATATTTTTCTCTACATCTTTTCTAGCTATAAAATAAGCTACTGGTAGCCCCCCTAATCTAGCTCTTTGGCCTAAAGTCCATTGGTGAATTCCCTTGTGTTTTCCCATAACTTGTCCAGTGTCTATATCTACAAAATCACCTGGTTCATCTTTAATATAGTCTTGAATAAATTCTTGAAAATTTCTGGACCCTATAAAGCATATCCCCATGCTTTCAGGTTTTCGGCTAATTTTTTCTAAGCCATTTGCATTAGCAATTTTTTTCACCATATTTTTTGTCAAGTCACCTAATGGAAACATACACTGCTTCAAAGCATTTTGAGGAATTTGACATAGGAAAAATGTTTGATCTTTCACTGCATCCTTGGCCAGGAGTAATTTTGCATTTTTTTCTGGATCATAATTTTCTAAAAATAATCCAAAAGTGTTTCTGGCATAATGTCCAGTCGCTATTGCGTCGGCTTGTAGTTTTGTTTTGGCATATTCGAGAAAGTAGTTGAATTTAATGTTACGATTGCACAGCACATCAGGGTTTGGCGTAAACCCAGACTCATACTCTTTGACTAAAGCACAAAACACTTCGTTCCAGTAATGCTTTACAAAATTCACGTGGTGTAGCTTTATGTCTAATTTTCTTGCAACATATAGGGCATCGTTATAATCTGCTTGTAGAGTACAAGTCCCTTTTTCGTCCATAATGTCCCAATTTTGCATGAATACCCCATGCACCTCGTATCCTCTTTGCTTCAACAGTAAAGCTGCAACAGCACTGTCCACACCTCCTGAGATCCCAACAGCTATTTTCTTGAACATTTTTTTGCATATTGTAAATGCAGAAGCTTTAAGTTTCAATTTCAAATTATTTTTCAAAAAATGTCAAATATATAACCTCAATTTTACATAAATAATTAGAGATGGGAAAATTATAGTGCTGATCACAGCGACGAGAGTAAATGATTCATTTGTAGAGATGGGAATATTTTAAGTTTTGGAGGTAACAGTTTCTTTCCAGAGTCGAAGACTGATGTCCATAATCGCCTGCGAAGGAAGAATGTGTAGGATTTTGGAGCATGCGAGAGTAACGTGTAGTTTGGAAGTAGATACTTCTCCTACTATACTCCATTTACATGAGGATGATGATTCAAGAAGTGTCCTATTTGGTACAATAGATGGTAGAGTTGGAATATTAAATGTAGGAAAGTAAGAAAAATGGGCAACAGATAAAGAAAGTCAAATCTTTATCGAAAATATTAGTTTACAGGCATTTAAAGGTTGGTTGATAAGCAACGAAAATAACTCTAGTTCGATCAACTGTATGGATAGTTACGATTTGAATGGTAGCGATACGAATCAACTAATCATTGGAAGACAAGATGGTATGATTGAAGTATATCAATTGAGTTTAAATCTCAATGTCGAGGTTATCCAGAAAATATTCTCTTTTGTAAGTTCTAGAATTATGTTGCAGTTATAAGTGAATTCTAAATCACTATGGATGTAGAAAAAATCTTATTTAAAATTCGAGCGTAAAGAATTGGGCCAATGTTGGAATTTGGGATACTTTCATGCAATCAAGGCGTAAGTTTTTATCCAGATTTCCTTTCAAAACTCCGCCCGGTTGCAGAATAAATAACAATTAATAAAATTAAATAGTAAATTACAATTAATTTAAAAGGTCTCGATTACCTAAAAATAGCATGGTTTATTTAACATTTTTAAGGATTGCAATGAAAGAGTGACAGCCCTCAAATGCGGCGTTATAGGAGAGCAAGGTTTCAATGAAATCCTTGTGACGTCATACACAGGCCGAGTTTTTGGTTTGACAACACAACCCATAAGTACACACATCGACAATTCGGAAGGCAAATACGTGTTTTCTACAAACTCTTCTGAGAAGATTCATAAATTGAGGTACGGAATACTGAAATGTTTGGTTTCTGATTAGTCCATATATGCGCAGTCTTTTAGGAGATCGATATATTTTGAAAATCACTATTTCATATTTGATTTAATCAAAGTAAGCGTACTAGACGACCGCCCAGGGCGCCAGGACCTGAGGCGCCTGGCTGTTGGGTCGGAAAGGGGCAAGAGGGAATTTGGGGCGGTTCCGGCCCTGTTTGCTGATAAGACCAGGGCCGGGAAAAAGTAGGTCCAATATACTTTTTGAGAAAAAAAATATACTTGTAAAGTTGACGTTAATTTGGAGTCCAAGCTATTTCTAGAAGAATTACCAAGCATAGTCAACCTTAAAGGCCGTCCGTGACTGTACTTTAGAATATGACATGAAAGAGTGCCATTTTGTTCCTGTCGCCACGTGAGGCCGGGCGTTGCCATGAAGGAGAATGACACCGCTAGAGAGCAGACCCCGCCGGCGGTTTTGAATAGCGCGCCTAAGGTCATGTTTTACGGTACCTCTAAACATGTATAGCAGGACGAATTTTTTTGAGTTTAAAAGCCGCGTTATTATTTACTGAGTGACATGGCGACAAAGAAAACAGTATAACCGTATATAATTCTCGAATTCCCCTCTTTCTGAAAGTTGAAGCTTATAGAAATGTACGTCTAGACAGCCATGACCCAAGATATAGATTGATTGAACTGGGAACCATTTCAAAGTGTGCAAGAGATAACACAAAGAATCGATCTTAATGGTTGGAACAAGAAGCTAGAAACGAAAAAATGTAGTGTGTATGTAGTACGTAAACTTCGTTGTTACAACTCTTTGAAAATGTTTCCTATTTTGTTTTACCATCTAACAAGAAATAGCAAATTAATAATATATGCTTTCACCATATTTTCAATTTTTTTAGTTTTGTGGCAGAATTATTGAGGTGAATAGAGGCCCAGTCATGAGTAGTAGGATTACTCCGCAAACTATATAGTTTCTTTCTAAGTCTATTCCATAAGTAGCTATTTTCAGCAGTAATAAAAAGCATGGGGCGGCCGCTTTGCCAAAACTGTCCGTCGATAAAAAATACATAAGTCCGAACATGAGAAGGACTTTTTCGCTAGTGAAACTAAACATAACTCATTGTACGTCACTGCTACGTGATGTGTCTTTGTGTACTCAAACCGCATTAACGGTAGCGTATGATGCATGTCGCTACTCGTTTTACAGTGGCGTATCCAGAAAAAAGTTGGAGGGAGCTAGGATTTCAAAAAGGGCATGCCGCAAGTTGTTTAAGTTTTATGGTTTGCTGATAATTGCAACAAAACACAAAATATTATTTCAAAAATTCGTAAAAAATCGCTATCGACAATTTGATTCATTAAATAAATACTATGATTAAGCTTCGATCATGCTACTTTTTTCATTTGATGATGAAAAATGTTGCCTCACGTTTTTCAATGTCTAAAAGAGACTCACAGTAAAGACCGGCGATTAAAAATTGAAGAGCGGGAGAGCGGGAGGCGGGTGCATGCTTAAGCAGGACTTCTGAAAGCAAACGCCCTTATGACGATTGAGGAGCGTGTAAAGGAAGGGCACCTTCGCCACTGTTCAGATATTTATTTTAAATACTTCGATATTGCGATTCCATCAGTTTCACCTCCATTCTTTCTGGATAAGGTTCAGATATTTAGAAAACATACTATTGTTCCTTTATACACCTATAAGGTTCTTGATCCTCATATTGCCCGTCTCCCTAATTCGCCTCTGTCTATTTCATTTTGGTACTTGATAATATAATCAGCAATTACTTAGATTTATAGGTTGTAGAAATCATTCACTTTTAGGGTAGATATCGAGGACCTCAAGACGAAAATTTTGAAAGAAAGAGAGAAATATCAAACTTCCACACAATCGTTTTACAACGAACTTTCTGCTATTCCACTGCTCACCGTAAACGAAAGGGTAAAATTCGTATCACATTTATTTTTTTTAGTTTAGGATATACATAAATAGAACCTTCTTATTTTAAATTGGATGTTTTCAGTTTATTTTGGACAGGGAAAGTGCGACATACACTTTATCAATAGGAATTCCGACCCCCATAGATTTTATTTTGATTCAATGTGACGCAAAAATTGAACTTATGGACGAACAAAAAAATTCTGCTGTTGTTTCTTATACGGATAGCAAACAGGTAAGGATCCTGCAAGATATTCAAACGAAGGTCGGTAAGTTTGACCGGTATGCTTCATAGATCTCTAGTATATCAAATTCCGTCAAGCGAGACATCTCAAGCCTAGAGCATTTGAGGCAGGCAGGATTGTTATTATTCCCATGAGGGACAACTGTCTGTTTAATCTGCAGTGGTCTATGAGAATCCCAACCGGAACATTGAGCGACTCTCTACCCTTATTCAACAGCCACAGGCACCTAAAATAGTCACGTCTTTCTCAAGTGGTAAACTTTGAAAGGCTGCGCTGCACTCATGGGCATCCGTAGGGAACTCCCAGGGGGGTGCCCCTCCTGAAAATCCTGTTAGACCTAGAAATTTAAATATTTAGTATGATTTTGTGTTCAATTTTTTCACTCGCATTTCAAAAAGTTTTCGGGCAGTTTCACAAAAATATATTTCTTGTCGATGATCGCCTCCCTGAGAAAAATCTCTGCGGGCGCCCATAACTGCACTCCCGGACAAGAGCCAGAGCTGATCTCTTGATTGATGCAACGGCAAAAAGAAAACAAAGCAAGCGAAATGAGATAGATATGTTGCACTTAAATAATCAAATTTTCAGGGCAACCAAACGCTGGTTACGTACAGATGCCAAATGAACGTAAATAATTTGGAATTGAAAGTGAGAACCACGGAGGGCGAAAGAGGCACTTTAGCAGTATACGTTACTCCAATGATACAGCCGAAGTGTTCGAGAAAATTGACATATGACATACGTCCGTTGTCGTTGCACTATAAGTTGAATAAGTGTGATAGTAATAGGTAATACCCATACATACATTAACATTCATAGTGTCCATTTATTACGTAAGGCATTTTTGACGATTGTCACCCCCCCCCCCCCTTCTGGTGACATGTCGTTGAGATTAACCATCCTGGTCTTAATATCACCAGAATTTATATTTCAACTAAAACTTAAAAAATCACAATTTGCTTTATTCCTACTATTGAACTACAATAAATATTGTGACTTAAATGAAACATGTTTTACCTTCCCAATATTCTCGCAATTTTGCACTGTTTCTTGAGAGAAAAAAATAGGTGATGCAAAGCTTGCGGATTTTCATGTTTATGATTTAGGTTGTATATTGAGTGGCAACTAATTTAAGTTTCATACGGTATTGTTACCAAAAATAATTAAATTTCCTATGTTTAATTTAGGTGACCCTATCCATTTTAATTAGTTATAGATTAAGCTAGTACTATTATTTATTTTACTTATATTTTACTATTGAGTGCTGAGTAGAAGAACACCTCTCATGTGAACTTCACCTTGATATTTTCCAATTTGGATTATTTCTTTCTGATGTGTCGTGTTATGTTTGTAGATAATGGGAAAACACATTATTACTATTATTACACTTTCTATGATGTTTCAATTTTAAGGCATAGTGTTCTAAGTAACAAGCTGTATATAAATGTTACAGGTCATATAACATACTGAATATAAAGGGTTCCTTTAGTTTAGCAGAGATCCACACCTGGATTGCTCAAACGGTACCTCAAGTTCCTGAAAAGCCAGATTTGGGTGAAGTCACGGTACTTTCGTTTGAATCGTGTCTTTTAGGAACCATTTTAGAATGTACCTATCAGTAAGTTTCTACTTTCCGAAAGTAGTAAAAATTAAAAGAACGTCATGTGACTATGTATTTATACGTCCACGACTTTGTGTCTTGATATCCCAGGAAAAACTTACTATAAAAAAACATTTTAGGCAAGGTAAAGCAGAATTCAGAAGCGACAACATATCAACACTAACAACCTTAAAAAACAGCATTACAAAAGAGGCTACAAAGAAAAAGATAAAATTAGAAATTGACATGTGTAAGTATCTAAGTATTTCCATATCTTTTTATTTTTTGATTAGTTGATCTGGCGGTTGAAGCAAGGCGAGTCCCAGAATATCTGAAGCTTGACTGTTAGATCGATCGATAAATAGCCGCCCATTTGATTTCCTTTCTTTCAGCTGTCAATGATGAATCTGTCAAACAAGTACTTCTCCTAGTAGACAAAATTATTACGAATTGTTTGCAAAAATCAAAGGAGCTACGTTTACTGAATGCTTTGAACGAAATTGACGTGACTGCAGAAGAATCGGTGAAATATTTGTCTGATGAGTATAAAGAGTTGTTAGCTCGTGAGGAAAACATAAGGAAAACTATGATAGGGCAAGACGGGAATATAGAGATATTATTAGGTTTGTATACATATTTGCAAACATAATATGCTAGATAAATAATTTTACTAGAATATATTGTCAATATTAACTAGGTTACCTGTAGGTTTAGAGTTTTCTTCAAAGCATACTCAATACTGGAGCAATTTAAAGACATTTGGGGCATAGTTTTACTCCATAAGTTTGAAAAAACTTTAAATCCATAACAGTAACTCCGAAATATTGTAAAATGTTAATATTTATTTTACAGACGTGATCATGAATATCTACAAGGATTATAAACAAATAAAAGGTGGATACTCTAAGCAAAAAGCAGCCATATTGAAAGATGCTTTGAAAGATTATTCCTACGAGAAAGTTGTCTCACTATTTGACCATGAACCATTGAATAAGCTGTAAATTGTAATTTTAACGTCGTAATAAACCGTTATTTCAATATAAAATTTTATTTAGTAAGGTTAATTTTGATTTGATTATTTCTCCCCTAAGTGTAAAGCTAAAACTTTTGAAGGTAATATGCTACCATAATAATGAAAAAACATTTTTTCTTTTTCAGTATTAATCGATATGTAAAAAATCGATTTTAGATGGAAAAAAATCGATGTTTCTGAAAAAATCGATTTTTTCTATTATTCGACAGACTTCATGTCAGAATGAAAAAACAAATAAGATAATAATAATAATAATAGACGTCTTTATTTATCCACAATTACATTGTAGTATAGCCAAATGTCAGACTTACATGGCGAAGTTTAGCATGCTGCTACTCTTACACTTAACCATATAGTCTCTAGCAGATGTTCAAAAGAATACACTATCCACAAATAGATTTGGTTCATTACATCGAAAGTAAAATTTAAAAAAAGAGAAAAAGGCATACTTTCCAAACCCAAATGCACCAAAAAATTATTAATCTGAATTAAAGATGGAATAAAAAAGAAATGAATGATTTCGTAAATTATATGTTTGGAGGGTTGAGTAATAATGTTTTAACTTTTTGTCAGAAGACAGGTAATCAAAATTCTTTATATACTTTAAGAAGGTTATTATAAAGAATAGCAACATTGTAAGAAAAACTGCGTTTAAAAAGTGTAGACGTATGCAGGGGTATTCTAATGTTATTTTCTCTGAGAGTTCTACAGTGAACATCATTATTAAATGAAATTTTTTCCTTCAAGTAATAAGGTTTAGAACGTGGCTGCAATTTGTGAACAAAAACTGAATAGTGATACTTGACCATGTCATTAATTTTTAACCAGTTTAGAACGGGATATTTCGCTGATACATGATCAAATTTACGTAAGCGAAAAATGAATCGTATACAATTGTTTTGAATAACTTGAATAACGTTTTTAATGAAATTGTCTAAACAAGTATGGTATACGATATTACAATAATTTAGTATAGATATGACCAATGCTTCACACAGTTTTTTACGCAACTTAAAATTTAGTAAATACCTGTTTGCTATAAGAGTGCGCAGCCGTAGGTAGGTTTTCTGAGATAGACTTTTAACATGTTCAATAAACCTTAATTTTGTATCAAAAACAACACCAAGAATTTTTGCAGAATCAGAAAATTGCAAGATTTGGTTATTTATCTGAATGTTCAAGAGCTGTGTTACATTGTATGTTTTTCTTTGTGCGCAAAATAATAACATTTTAGATTTTTGTGGATTAATAAGTAGATTGTGATCTAAAGAGTATTTAATTAATTTATTAACATCGTTTTGTAAAATTTGAGTAGTATTATTGACATTATCTGGGTTAAAATAATGAAGCAATTGCGTATCGTCTGCAAATGACTGGACATGAGAATTATCAATACTTTTGCTTAAGTCGAACGTATATATGAGGAACAGAAGCGGCCCCAATACAGAGCCCTGAGGTACGCCTGAGGGAATTATTGTCACTTGAGACATTTCTTGATTGAGAAAAACACACTGAGTTCTTTGATGAAGGTAACTGTCGAAAATGAAAGGGATACACTGTCAAGACCTATGTTATTTAATTAGCAAGTAATAATTTATGACTAATGCTGTCAAAGACTTTCAAATAGTCTATAGAGATTAAGTCTAGTGCCATTTTCTTATCTAAGGCACTTAAAATATTGTCTTGCAGATTAAGTAGGGCAGATGTTGTACTATATTTTTTTCTAAATCCGGATTGAGTGTCGGGAAGTATAAAGAATTTTTTTAGGTAAGCGGTCAGTTGGAACTTTATAATTTTTTCTAAATTTTTGGATAAAATTGGTAATAAACTGATAGGTCTGAGATCATTATTTCATTTTTTTAGGAATTGGAATAATTAGAGCTTGTTTCCATGTGTTTGGAAAGTAGCTTTTTCCTAAACAGTCGTTAAAGATGTGGACGATGTGATGGAGAATAACTGGCAGGCAAAGCTGGATCATTGACAGGGATATACCATCAATTCCCTT